ATTAATAAACACTGGAGTGGGTTTTGGGGGTATTTTGGATTAGCAGTACAATCTAGATTAAAAAATCTCTTTTATTTGAGAGATAACACAGATTAGGATTTTTTTCATCCTTACAGAAAGCAAAACCATTTTGCTTTTTGTTCTTAATCTTGATACTATCCAGTTCTTCCAGGATCCTAGCGCTTTCTAAAGGGATTTCTCCTAAATGAGTTTATGAACTGCTCAGCTGTATGGAATCAGAAACATCACAGCAGTTGCTGTATTTCAAGTATTTACTGGGATCTACCTCTCCAATGTGGTTTACCAGTATTGTAATGTGTGTATTCAGTGCTGCATGCTCCCCGCTGCTTGATTCACTGTCCTATTTTCTTTTTGCTGTCTGAATTTTCTGACATGAAGAAACACTTCACACAAGACCTCTGTTTTCTTCCACTTCTGAGTGATGTTATATACAAAATATATAGATACCAGCCTTTAACTTTCCTCAAAGCAGGGTTTTGAGAGGTTTGCTTGCTCTTAGGTCAGGTGCTTTCCAATTTTTAGCTAGTTGTCGCCCTTTGTGATGTGTTCTAATTGATTCCTGGGTGGCTGGATGTTTGTTTGCTGCATTTGAGATGAAGCTTGAATTTTAAATGAGGTAGATTGTAATCTGAGTTTCTGTCTGGACCTTAAGGTGTTTTTCTTGAATGAGGACTCCAGTTTTCTCCTATTTCTGTGCAATGATCTGATCAATCAACTGCACAGAAGAGGTACAATTCTATTTTCCCAAATTGTAATGGTGAAAGAAGGCATTTGCAAGGATAGAATGATATTCTCCAAGCAGAGCTCAATGAGTACATGTCCTCATTTGTTGGTCTCACTCTCTCCCATGGCAGCTTTGATGAGGAACAACTTCTTCCTGCCAGGGAAATCCCATGTACTCAGCAGTTGTATCAACAAGTCTTCTGTTTGTCTGTCTTCAGTTTCACCAGCCTGGGATCATGATTTTTGCAGGGCATTTGCCATCAAATTCTGCTGTCTTTCAAATGACACTTTGAAATTACTCTGTTTAATTTCATTGTTTATACAGGCACTGGCTTTTAAGTGTATTGCATCTGGCTATAGGTTTCCTCTGGATATTACCCGTGTGGGATGTAATTGTAAATTATTCAGACTGGCTGCAAAGCCACTTAACAAAACCCCCAAACCAGCCCATAAACAAAAAGGTTTTTCATGGCATAGGAAGAACTTTCAAACTCACTTACAGTTAAATTTCTTATTTGCTTTGGAGTTCTTTCTTTATTTCTAGACTGTCACACAAATTGTCTGTGTTTCCTTAAATTGTAGTGGTTCTTGATGACATCGCTGAGGATTGGGTTTATCCCAATACATGAGCAGTATTTAGCAATGAGTTAGTCTGCTCTGAATTCATTTCTACTTCTGCCAGTCTGTAGTTACTGAAGAGATTTCTCTCTTTCATTTTTCCTCCTCTTTTCCCCTTGGCTAGTTCAGCATTTTCAACCATTTTCCTTATTTTCAAAGGCTTACACCTGAGGGATTAAGATCTACATTCGTTTAATATCAGGAATAAAGTGGAAGTTCCAGACTGCAAGGCTAAAACTTGAAGAAGGATTTTTTTGTAGAGATTAATATTTTCCTGAGCAATCTGCAAGCTGAATCATGGTCTAATTAAATAGCACAGATTTATTGAGTTTGCATTTAAACATTGGCAGACCCTAGAATGAGTACAGCTGAAATGAGTTTGAATCTTTTCTGTAAATGTGGAGTTAAATTATCATAGTAATTTGATTACATAATTTTTAAATCTTTCAAGCTAAATCACCATTTTAAAAGAACAGTTTGAAGTCTTAATCGCCACTGGAAGTGCCCCTCTCTGTGCTGTTTTTTCTTACCCCATTCCTTGTGACCAAATCTGTTCCCCAGGGCACAGCTTCCTGAACTGCTCCATGAACCACATTTATTTGGGGGAGGCAAGCTGGCTGGGCACGTTCTTTCCAGCTATTAAATTAATTTCAAAGACAGCAACAAATACATTACATGCTTTATTACTATTTCTTCTCCATGTAAATAATTGCCCTGTTTACCAGAGGGATGGTACACAATCACCCCTGCAAGGAGGAGGTAAGAGCCCTTGTGTTTCGATGTTTTCCACACAGTGGAAGAGTTTCAAAGCATCAAATGTAGTAGCTGTGTCAGAGGGCAGGTTTTGATTCCTTTCTGGGGGGTGTTCTCTTATTTTCCCTCCTCACTCATTTTCATTATAAGGAGTATGTAGGGTGTAGATATTCCTAACGCTGCAGGCCAAATTGCTCTCCAAACTGCAGAGTTAAACATCTTAGGCAAGTTTCACCTCTGTGTGAAAAATACATTTAGTCTGGACTCCATCCATCTATTTGCAAACTTAAAATCACTGTTACAAATACTGATTCTGGGCAAAACCAGACCAGTTTTGTAAAAGGTTGAAAACGAATCCTTTATAGTCACATTCTCAAGAAAGACCTGTTCCTTTATGCAACATGGTGTAAAAAAACCCTAAAATGTAATGAGAACAGTCAGTCTTTGAGTCATCAAGGATTGGTTGCAGATAAAATGCTCCTATTTGGTTTCCCAGGGAATTGGCCTTGGCACTGTGGATCTGGGGAGAGGAGGAGAAGGTGTGTGTTTTCTGTTTGTGCAGAAAACACACATAGTTTATGGAAAAATTACTTGGAGTAGCAGATTGTGTGTTCTGTAGCACAGCAGTGAATATCCAAGGATTTGGTAAAGAGTTAGGGAGTAAAGACAACGGTGTTTTTGGAGATTGCATTCCAAATTAAGCCTGGTGGCTGGACCCTGTGCTTAAGACATCAGTCACGTCTGTATGTGTGTGTTAGCATGTCTGTATCGATTACATCTGTTTGTAGGACACAGAATTCAGGGCTTTTCTCTTATTGACACAGAATTACTGAATAGAATTACCATATTAGAAAACTATCAAAAATGTATGGATTCAGGGAATGGTCTCACATTAATTAGAACTAAATTTTGCTAGAAGTAATATTTGCCTGTCATCCTTTTCAAAATGTTGTGGCCTTTTTCTATCCCTAAGAGAGAAATTTCTGTGTCTGTGCTTTCAGCACAGTGCACCTTGATGTGCAGCATCACATCCCAGCAGCGTATGTTTTAGCTGCATGCTTCTTAGAGCATGTATTCACTAAGACTCAGAATTATTAAACATGTAAAATTCCCATAGGACTCCATTATGTGTAATTAACAGATAAACTGTCATCAGAATCAATAAAACGTGCTAAATGATCCAAACTTGTATATAATTAAGTGTCTGTTTTAGAGCGGGAGCTGTAACTTTATTTTTTTTTTCTTTTCAATTTGCACATTTGTTGTGACAATAAGAGCTGGAACATTTTTGTTAACCTGTTACTTACTGGTTTGTGTTTCAGTTTACATGTTTGTATTTGAAAGGAGACAGGTATTTACTATCTGGCCTAATTATCTGAGGAAACAGTTGCATGTCAGCTTTTAGGAAATGAATCTTAGATGCATCTTAATTTTCTGAGTGGAATTCAGATATTTGAAGCACGTGCAAAAGTTGACGCTTAATCATCAACAGGGTAAAACATGAGGCTCTGTCGAATATTGATCCAGAGCATCAGACTGCTGGTTACAGGTCATGGAAACAGTAAGGGAAGTGGATTCTTCACCATCCAGCTCCTCAGTTGTTATGTCTGTGAACAGGGGCTTCATTACAAACCCAAAAATTAGGATGCAAAGCAGTGTTACACTAAGTAGAGTTTTCAAGGATGAACTTAAATTGTTCTGTGTCCCAGTTTCACCCTGAGCAAAGCTTGCACAGTGTGGCCTGTCCCTGGGGCTTGTACCCCTTTGCAGCAGTTGTATTTTCATGTGGTGCTTTATTGGCACTGTAAGTCTGTTGACCATCCCAATTTTGGTGGCTGATAGGGGATGTTTGGTGGCCTCTTTCACCTACAGCTGTTTTTCCTTACTTGCATTCACCTCACTTTGGTCCACATCAGGGTTTCTTTGGCATTTATGGGTACATAAAAGTCAGAGAATTAGGGCTGCTCATCCAAAGTAATCTCAACATGGTCCAGTAACTGCGTGTTCTCAGGGACATCTTCACTTTCTGTATCTATCCAGTTGAGGGGTTTACAGTTATTTCAGTTAGATATTTTCTCTTTATTTCACACTTCCATTGCTTTAATCTTTTCAGGTCATGTAGCAGTTTAGTTTAGTTCCTGGTGTGTGTTGCGTCTGGACTGTCACTCAATACTTACACCACCAAGGCATCTCACCTGCAAAGGTGCAGGGCAAGGTGTTTGCTTTGAGTCTTTTATAAAAAATGCAAAACCCCAACACTAACAAGATAAACCTCTGTCTGTGGGGGGGGAGGGAAGGATTATACCTTGTAGGAGATGTTAGCTTCACCAAACAAAAGCTGTTCAGGAACAGGCTAAGTGTAGTCTGTATGTCTGAGTATGCCTGAAGGAGAAAAAATTTGCTAAATCTATCAGGGAATCTCTCCAGACCAGCATTTCCCTTGTTTTGGTGCAGTGGTCCTAATCCCACAGTCAGGATATCTGAGTACTGATGATGTCCATGGCTTCCAAGTGGGCAGCCTGACACAGAATTTTGCTGCGCTTTTCCACAGTAGGGCATCCTTGCTTTATCCTTGTTTCCACTCCTTCAGCCCCTTGGCACTGTCATTCCTTCAAAGCAGTAAACCCTACTGATGGTTTGGGGAGCACCCAGGGTGACTGTTTCATTGTTTGAGGAGGATGAGGAGAAGAATTACTTACCCAAGAGTTAATTGTACGTTTGTAGTTCCTCAGCATTTCAATACACTTTCCTAGAGGTCAATACAGAAATTAATGGGTAATTATCTTCCCTCTTTGTGAAAGAGGATGGGCAGAACCAGTGAAAGTGTCGTTATCAAACTCCTGGCACACCAGACTGAAACCTCCTGTTGCTGCTTTGTTTTGCAGACTCAATGCACATAGAGGATGTTGAGGCAGTGCAGAAACTTCAGGACGTCTTACATGAGGCTCTGCAGGATTACGAGGCCGGGCAGCACATGGAAGATCCTCGGCGTGCAGGCAAGATGTTGATGACTCTCCCGCTTCTGAGGCAAACCTCCACCAAGGCTGTGCAGCATTTCTACAACATCAAACTGGAAGGCAAAGTCCCCATGCACAAACTTTTTTTGGAAATGCTGGAGGCCAAGGTCTGACTAAAGCATCATGGGCTTCCCCATCATGCACGTTTTAAAAAAAAAAAAAAAGAAAAAAAAAAGGGAAAATAAACAGGATAATAATGGCAAAGAAACTTAGTGTTTAATTAAGGAAAAAATGACTAAATGACTGCACTGATATTTAGCAGCAAGACTGTGAAGCAGCTTTCAACTTTTTCTTCTGTGTCTTTCTGATGCAGTTTTTTCTTTTCCTTTTCCTTTTCTCCCTTTTCCTTTCTGTTCTTTTCCTTTCCTTTTTTCCTTTTCCTCTTTTTTTTTCCTTTGCTGCTGAACTTTTTAAAAGAGGTCTCTAATTGAAGAGAGATGGAAGCCAGGCCTGCCAAAGGATGGAAATCCATAATATGGATGCCAGTGAACTTATTATGAACCATAATGTCCCCAATGACAAAGGAATCAAAGAGAGAAGCACCGTACCTAGCAGTACAGTACAACACGATGAACTGACTGAATGCAGTATTAGATTTCATAGGAGCAGTCTCTAATTAGACGACTAAAGCGACGATGCATCGGCTGCTTCTTATCATTGCATTTTCCATCTAGATCAGTTACAGCCATTTGATTCCTTAATTGTTTTTTCAAGTCTTCCAGATATTTCTTAGGTTAGCTACGATGTAACTTTTTCAGGGAATAGTTTAAGCTTTATTCATTCATGCAATACTAAAGAGAAAGAAATACTGCATTTTTGTGCTGGCTTGAACAATGATGAACAATAATGAAGGACAAATGAATCCTGAAGGAAGATTTTTTTAAATGTTTTGTTTCTTCTTACTAATGGAGATTTTTTTGTACCAGCTTTACCAGTTTTCAGCCATTTATTAATGTGGGAATTTATCTTACTAAAGCAATAGTTGAAGGGAAGGTGCATATTATCACGGATGCAATTTATGTTGTGTGCCAGTCTGGTCCAAAACATCCAGTTTCTTAACATGAGCTCCAGTTTATAACTAAATGTTCACTGACTCAAAGGATTAGATTACACCTGCAGTATATCCGAGTAGTCTGCCATACAAGTACTCCACGTGGAATACCAATCCGTAACGGTGTTAGGAGACAGCGGCTGCGCAGGGGCGCGGTCCCGCGTGATTTCTAACTGCTTCAGTTGCAAATGAATGAGACACTACTGCCTGTTTGCAAAATTGTAACCTCACACGCAGGAAAACCCTACCAACCAATAGTAGCTTAGAGGCGATGAGGCGAATGCCGCCGTTTGCAAAATTAAGAAATCAGAGTAGTAGACTTCTGACCAAATTGAAGAATTTAACACTTCTATACCTTATTTATTGATTTAGATTTTCGTTTGTAAATGGCGATCCTTAACAAGTAGCTAAACCAGTATATGTGCTTTTCAACCAGTATTGTCACAGCATGAAAGTCAGTCAGTTTCAAGACTGTTACGAGGTGTAATCTAATGTATAAACCGATTAGATGCCCCCAGAAAACTACAGTCGCTAAATAACCAATAAACAATAACCTCCATCAAACGCTATACCAATGTACCAGTGTTAGTAGCTGCTCCCTGTACTATGTGAACATCCTTATTCTATGTACACAGATGTAATTAAAATTGTAATCCTAACAAACAAAAGAAATGTAGTTCAGCTTTTCAATGTTTCATGTTTGCTGTGCTTTTCTGAATTTTTATGTTGCATTCAAAGACTGTTGTCTTGTTCTTCTTGTGGTGTTTGGATTCTTGTGGTGTGTGCTTATAGACACAGGGTAGAATTAGAGACAATATTGGATGTACAATTCCTCAGGAGATTACAGTAGTATATTCTATTCCTTACCGGTAATAAAGTTCTTCCTAGTAATAATTAAGAGATCGAAACTCCAAACAAATACTCGTTATGAACAGATACACACTGAAATCATAATATTTTCAAAACAAGGGATAATTTCTGTAACAGTTTATTATAGAATACCAATGTATAGCTTAGAAATAAAACTTTGAATATTTCAAGATTATAGATAAGTCTAATTTTTAAATGCTGTAAATATAGCTTTTATTCAATCATCTCTCAGATGTTGTTATTAACTCGCTCTGTGTTGTTGCAAAACTTTTTTGGTGCGGACAAGTTTCCAAAACTATTGCTACGTTGTGTGCTTTAAACAAAATAACAATGGGTCAATGCTCTCTCGGCCCTCATGCTAGGAAAAAGAAAAAAAAACTGTGTATCTATCATTAGCTATATGGGACTATATTGTAGATTGTGTTTTCTCAGTAGAGAAGTGACTGTAGTGTGATTCTAGGTAAATCATCATTAGCAATTCATTCAGATGGTCAATAACTTGAAATTTATAGCTGTGATAGGAGTTCAGAAATTGGCACATCCCTTTTGAAAAAATGTCAAAAAAAATAATACAACTCCTGGGAAAAAGGTGCTGATTCTATAAGATTATTTATATATGTAAGAGTGCAAAAAAAAAAAAAGTTTATTTTCCAGAAAGTTTGTGCAGGGTTTAAGTTGCTACTGTTCAAGTACACTATATATATATAAATATATAATATAAATATTGTTTTTGCTGTATCACATTAAAGAACTTGGGCTTCAGGGTCAAAAGCCAATCAACTAGAAGTATACAAAAAACACACAAAAAATGGAGATGTGTTAAAGGCACACGGTGCAAACTTTAGTTTTCATTTTCCGTAATTTTTTGGAGCTGCAAAAGAACAAGTATCTCAAGACTGTAAAACCATTACCTGAAACTTAGCTAAAAAAACTGCACGGGCTTTATAATATTGTTCATCTTAAACCTTGCTGGAGAAGAGTTCTTTCAAGACCACTTACTTAATGTGAAGTGTTGGGAAAATTTCAAAGGGTGTATGTTTTAGCCATAACAATTTAATTTCTATTTTTGCTTCATTTTTTAATTTTTTCTTATTTAAAGCAATATGATTGTGTAACTCCCAGAAGTTACACATTTGTTTCAATCAGATCAGATTGTTGTATTTATTCCACTATTTTGCATTTAAATGATAACATAAAAAGATATAAAAAATTAAAACTGCTATTTTTCTTATAGAAGAGAAAATGGGTGTTGGTGATTGTATTTTAATTATTTAAGCGTCTCTGTTTACCTGCCTAGGAAAACATTTTACGGCAGTCTTATCGTGCAAAGATCGCAAAAGGACAAAAAAAATTAAACTGCTTATAATAATCCAGGAGTTGCATAATAGCCAGTAGTTAAAAACTGAAAGAAAACAACAAATGAAAACAAACATGTCTATAGCTGTAGATGGGCTTCACATCTGTATAGCAATCAACTGTATATTTTTGTGATGTGTATCATACCGTGTGCTCCAACCAATGTCCATTTGTGTAAATGTATTTATTTTATATTGTATATATTGTTAAATGCAAAAAGGAGATATGATTCTGTAACTCCAATCAGTTCAGATGTGTAACTCAAATTATTATGCCTTTCAGGATGATGGTAGAGCAATATTAAACAAGCTTCCACTTTTGATTGCTTTTATTTTATTTTTTGTGTTGTGGGGTTTTTTTGGTTTTGTTTTCTTTTTTGGAGGAGGAAAACAGAACAATTAGTGTTGCCTTTTGTTACTTCCATTCAAAACGGAGCCAGCGTTTGCACTTCTCCCTTAAAGTACGATATGAGTGTAAATAAATGCTATATAAAGCCTTGTCAGAATGAATTCCAGTGTGGTACAAGACATTTTGCATACTCTTAAATATGCAAAATGTCTCATAGCACATTAGAATTCAGGTTGGCAGGCCTTTATATAGCACTTATTTAATCTTAAGGCATCTACACATCAACCTGCATTACTCAAAACTATTGCCTCTCTGTCAATGTCGTAAAAGAAAACTTTCCCACTATTTTAAGATCACATTAATATCATATAGAAGTAGTAGTTTGCTTTCTCCATCAAGAACTGAGTCTATCATCACTGCAGGAGACTCCTTTAATGTGTTCTGAGTAAAAATAAAAAATAAATTAAGAAAAAAACCCTGTATTATTTGATCCAGTGTTGCTGAATGGAAGTAAACAGCCCCCAGAGCAGTGATACAGACTGGTGTGGATGAAGGTCCCCGAAAGCTGTCAGGATCCAGGGGGCAAAGTGGCCATAAATGGGCTCTGGGCCCCATCCCTGTAAGGTGCCGCTGCCCCCTCGCTCAGGCTCAGCCCCTCTGTCCTGTGGACCCTTCTGGAGCCATCACAGAAGTGCTAATGTGTGCTTTTCTTGCTTTTTAGCCTATCTTGGTAGTGTTTTGTCGTGTTCGCCAGCGTGTTTCTCACCTTCGCTCCTGCCGTCCTCGGGAGGCTCTGGTTGATGGCACCGGGGCTGCTCGGGGACAGGAGCTGTGTCAGCCTCGGCACTGGGCAGCACCAGGGCCTCTTTGTGCCTCACAGCCTGCAAGTGCCAGCACAGCAGAGGCACCCCTGCCCTGCTGCCAGTGCTCTCTGTGCTTTAGCTCTCTTGGGAGATAGGGGGACCTTTTGTGAGTGAAAGCTGCTGCTTTCAGGGCAGTAGGAAGATGAATTCTGCGTGGACTCTGCAAAGATGATCAGAATTGGGCTTTAGTGTTGACACTGCTGTGTACACAGGCATACATCCATATACACAGTGTGCTTGGACAGAGCTGGCTTTCCCCATTTTCTAGTGTTTTCCCCCCTTTTTATTAGTTTCCTGATTTTTAATTATTGCAAAGTTCCCCTTCAAAAGAAAACCTAGTACTGCGTCTTGAAACGTGAAAAAAGCAGTGTTACAAATTTTTACATAGGAGGAAAGGAAAGGATTCAAAGGAAAATAATCTGTAAGTGGCACTCCTAGACTTCCTCGACATGTGTTTGACCCTAATCATTGACTAAAGTTTTCATATGCAGTAAAAAAATCATGATTTCTGTACCATTTTTCATGAGAGGATCATGAAGCACCATACAAGAGAAATTGAGCATCACAGAAGAAAAAATACAACTCTCAGATGAAGCCTCTTCTAGGGCTCTGTCTCTGTAGAGTTTTTCTGGTTTGTCTTTTCTTTCTTCTGCGTATGC